TTTGGTAGCTTAAAAGGTAAGTTATGTCGTAAAAAAATTGAAAAAGAAAATCAAGAATTTTAAAATGTTCGACATGTACAAAAAACACATTTGTTAAATACTTGACTGTACTGCATCGTAATCTAGACTTTACCGTTCAAGCCCCACTATCTTTATATATATAATTCTTCTGTGACTGGAGCGATTTTGATGAAATTTTTTGTGTGTGTTCAAGGGGATCTGGGAATGGTTTAGATTCACAATTTTCTCCGCTGGACATTTTTTTTTTTGAATTAATTTTTAATTTATTAGTAGTTGTTGATTTTGGAATGTTTTACATTGGATCCGACAGACGGCGCTATCATCGCAGTGTCAAATTTTAAATAATATTCGAATTAAAGACGTGTAGACAGGACAACGTCTGTCGGGTCCTCTAGTATCTATATATATCTAAATTTATCCTATGTTGTTACTGTGAAGGAAAACATCGTGATGCTGCACATATTTGAGAAAGTGAAAGATATGTGTGAAGTCTTGCACTGGACCAGCATTCACTATCATTTAGTCACCGACTTTGGGTAGGGTAGGCTAGGTTCATAGGATTAATTTGGTTATGTATATCACTAGTTACTGTATATGAAATTCAAGGAATAAAAAGGAATCGCATGATATTTCACTTGACAAAATCGGTTCAGTTGTTAACCTACAGGATGTTACAAAACATTATCTCATTCTTTGTTTCTTGTTTAAGTAAATTAAATCTTACTTACATTTTAATTAAATATATTTAGAGTTAGAGTGCAGAATAACCCCTGTTTAACTTGCTACGTGTCCGGGAATATAGGTCATAGCGAGTGAGTTATAATTAGTGAAATTTATGATGCGGGCCATCCCAGGGGAGAGGGGTGTACGGGGGTACCGAGGAGGGGAGGGTAGGGGTTATACCGGGATAAAAGGGGGTTAGTTAGACACGCATGTTGAAAATTTTTGGTCGAATTGTAACGTTTTAGTATTTTCATATTTCGTTAGTGAACTATATCGTAAAATTAAGTGTTGGTTAAAAGGTAGACATTATATTAATCTTCGATTTTTTTTTTTACTTAAAAAATTGGTTTATTTTCATCGTAAGAAAGTCAAAAACACAATAGTAAATGGCGGGGTCCAAGCTCATACATAGGAGTTCTAAAAATTATTTCTCATATATATATGTATGTAACATATTATAATTATTCCTGTAATAACAACGTTAATTATTATTCAAAATGAAACCAAACAAATTTAAATTAATGATATGTGTATTATTTTAATTACGTCTTACTAATATTATAAATGCGAATGTTTGTATGGATGTATGTTAGAATGTACTGCATGGATCTTGATAAAATGTGGTATAGATGTAGAACAAAGTCTGGAAGAACACATAGATTACTTATTAAGGTTTTTTTAACACGCGCGGACGGATTCGGCGACAGCTCGACGTTTACATACTTCTAGTGGAATTTAAAATGTTGTTCCACTTCACCTCCTCCTTTGTACCTCCTCCAGGTGGCATGTTTCAGTTGTGACCCGTTTGCATAATTCTCTTTGAGGCCGTAGTTTAATGCATCAGTTGGTTGACTTTACCTGTCGATTGTCTGCGACTTACGAGTTTAAAATAAAGTACCTGGATGTATTTTTTTTAATTGTGTTTTTTGGAAATTATATTTTAGTACGAATTACTAATAAAATGATGAAGTATGAATAATATTTTTCAATGTCACCGATAGAAAAAGTTAAGTTTATGTTTAAGTTGATTATCGATAAAACACGAATAAAATGTCATTTTCTAATAATGATTCCTAGCTAGATCGATATATCACCCCCGAAACCCCCTATATACTAAATTTTATGAAAATCGTTGGAGCCGATTCCGAGATTCCAATTATATATATACAAAAATTGCTCATTTAAAGATATAAGATAAGATTTAGATAAAGGTGTAAAAATTTAGTTTTTCTTTGTCGAGTTTTTTATTCCTTATGATGGGTTTTTTTTTGTTCAAACATTAATTCATGAATGTAGTCTCTTTGAATTAATTATAATAATAACTTAATATAAAAGAAATTAAGTAATTAACAATCAACTTAACTTAAAAGAAAATCAACTTACAATAGCAAATGCGTTACCTACCTTTGATAGACGGAGACGGAGACGCATAGAAAGAGAATATTTTCTCTATCTATGCGTCACATCTATCCAATCCACTTCCCCTTCCCATCCTTTATTAAAAAAAGGATGGTAAGGAAAGAGAACTTAAATGAGGTCCCCACAACGCTAACTCATCAGACTTTTTACAGATTTAACAGTGGTAGAGCCCGCTTTAACATCTTCGCCCACACAGAAGACAGGCGTCAAGTGGAAGTAATTCCGCGTTTCGTCTGATGAGCGTGCGTCCCGGAGGCCTAATTTAGTGCTCTTTCCCTTCCCACCCTTTTTCTTATAATATAAGGAAAGGATGGGAGGTGGAAGTGGACTTTCCGGATGAGAGGATGCATGGAGAGGGAAAATATTATCTTTCTGTGCATCCTCTCCTCCGTCTATAAAAGGTAGGCAACACATATGCGATTGCGTGTGTCTATGGGCAACTGTCACTTCGCTATTTCAGCGATTTCAGGTGGCTTCTCGCTCCTTTGCCACCTTATGATATAAAAAAAAGACTGTACACGGAATTGCATCGCACTTGAGGCGTGTCTCCTGTGTGGTCGTGATATTAAAGAGGACGAGGCATATGTGTGCAACAGATGTTGTTGCTGGTGTCTACTACAGTTGAATTTAAATATTTAACAACTATTATAAGGTTTAAGATAGTTTTTTATTGCGAAGAAATTTAAAAATTACTAAACCGAATTTTAGACTTTCACTTTGAAAAGGTTAAACCTAAAAAGTCACAAGTCTACCTTATCGTAAATATTAACTCTCAAATCCATTTTATATCCTTTATCCCTAAACCATTATCCAAAGATAATAAACTCGTCTACTGATAAAACGGTGACAGTTTTGTGTACCTTTTAAAAATTTGGGCCATTAAATCAACAAGGGACATTAAAGGGCGTATAGGTCGTAACGCTTTATGGCCGAACGTTATAAGACAGGTGAATATATTGTTATAACTTCATAGCAGTTATAACGTAACAGTTTTTATTCGACCGTTATTTATGATGACATCTATGGTTTTGATGGTACTAATATTTATTAACGTATAGTTATCGCCCGCGACAAGTCTATGTTAAATTAAAAAAAAAATGATTAGTTTATGTTATTTCATTATCATCAGCTCACTATAAATCTCCACTGAGCGTCTCTGAGTGACTATGTGAATGCTGGTCCAGTGCAAGACTTCACACATATCTTTGACTTTCTCAGATATGTGCAGCATCACGATGTTTTCATTCAACGTAACAACATACGATAAATGTATATATGTAAATGTAAAAACATGAGCTACAGACGCCCTTGATGTTATATTGCTGAATGTTTAATATTTGTTCCAAATTTATTCATGTTCCGAACAGCTGTTCTGGAGTAACATGGTTTTCTATACATCCAAAGTATTTATAAACGAGCGTCGGAAACACCGAGGTGATCAATGACACCCATGGACATCTGCAACACCAGAGGAACTGCAGATGCGTTGCCGGCCCTCAAAGAAATGGTATGTTCGCTTCTTGAAGGTCCCTAAGTCGTATTGGTTTGGAAATACCGTCGAGGACACACCGTTCCACAACTCGGCTGTGCGAGGCAAGAAGTTTCGAAGAATCGCACCGTTTCACCGAGGTGTGCCAGGATCGCGTTAAAAGGTCCGTGGTCTCTGCCTACCCCTCTGTGTTATAGGTGCGAGTTATATTGTTGTACCTACTTTACTACTATCAGGACAAAAGCGAGAATTGTTATTACTAAAAGCTTTGTTTCAAGTAATAATAACCCGTTAATTAACAGTTATAACTTTAGTTGACTGTAGTTAATAACAGTAGTTGAATGAACAGTTGTTTAGTAAATATATTTTATATAACGTATTCCAGTTTAGCTCGCGGCGTTTTCGTGTAAAACCTAAATTAAATATCAACAAAAAAGTGACTGGGAAAGTAATAACCGGAGCTGGTACAAGCCTGAAATATTAACTGAATTTATCTCTCTTCTTCTCTTCTTCGTATACTTCATTACTGAAGGTCGTGCGTGTCTTGATATGTCTTTGTATTTATCATTTAAATAGAGAGTTGCTTTTACGTCTATTATTTGAACATAGCGTTAAATTTTGGTGTAGGGAAATCTTCCAAAGATACCTTGAAGGGGGATACAAGGTTATGTGGGAGACCTACTAAAACTCCTTAACTTAAGTACAGTGGAAGAGGGTTCCGGGATCTCCAAGGAATGCATTGGCTCCTTGTGGCTCCACACTAGAAACTAATAGCTGTCGCCCGCGACTTCGTTCGTGCGGAATTAAAAAAATAATAACAGCCTTTGTGTTCTTCCAGGCTAAATAAATTTGCTTGTACCATTCCAACTAAGCCCTAGCCTTTGCTAGGGAATATGGTTTACGACAATAGTCGAATGGCGGGATTCGAACCCCCGACCTAGTGATCGGAAATCCGTACCCTTAACCATTAGGCTATTGAAGCTATAAATCTTATATCTTTAAATGAGCAATTCTTGTATATATATATAATTGGAATATCGGAATCGGCTCCAAAGATTTTCATAAAACTTAGTATATAGGGGGTTTCGGGAGCGATAAAACGATCTAGCTAGGAATCATTTTTAGAAAATGTCATTTTATTCGTGTTTTATCGATAATCAACTTAAACATAAACTTAACTTTTTCTATCGGTAAGATCGAAAAATATTATTCATATTTCATCATTTTATTAGTAATTCGTACTTGAATATAATTTCCAAAAAACACAATAAAAAAAAATACCGAGCAAAGCGGTCATCCAGATTTTATATATTAAAGATGAAGAGTAATAAAATATGAAGAGACTTACCGAGTTTGTTATTGCCATGTGGATGCTGATGATGGTGTTGTTGAGGTATTTGCTGCATCAGCGCTGGATGTGGCAACTGCAGTAGTTTCGGCTCTAGTTTTGTAGCTGCAGCTACAGGGATAGGTCCTGCGTTTGTCATGGTCGTCATTGTGGCTGCGGGCATCATTAACGTAGACATCGTGAGCATTTTGTGCAGCGCCTCACGTTTATCCACCATTTACAATCGATTTAAATAGACGCCATCTCGCGTCTGATAGTGGCACTAAGTTTTAATGTTTATTTTAAATATTTTTTCTGTTTTATTTAGGTTATAACCACTGTATTTTTTTTTTATAAATTGTTTTATATTTCAAAATAGGTTGATTTATAACTACTCTACGACGTCTGTGAAAAAGTTAGTAGTTTGTATTTTTTAAATTCGGATTAAAATGTTTAAGGCCTTTTAAATTTGGAGAGATATTTATAAATTGTAGTTTAAAAATAATGTTATACAGCCAGTTAAATTAGATACCTGTTTCGAAATTTAAAAATAAAAAAATAAGCAACAGATGCTGTTTATTTCATATATTGTAATAAATAACTAGCTATTGCCCGCGACTCCTTCTGCGTAGGAATAAAAAAATAGATCGTAGGCGATTCTCAGACCTACTGAATTTTCATAAAAATCAGTCAAGCAGTTTCAGAGGAGTATGGTAACTAACATAGTAATACAAGAATTTTATCTCTTACTAATATTATAAATGCCAATGTTTAGATGGATGTTTGTTTGAAGGTATCCCCAGAACGACTGTATGGATTTCACTGAAAGGCATAGATCTAGAACATAGTTTAGAAGAACACATATGCTACTAATTAATTTTTTAAAACCGTGGAGACAGAGTTGCGGGTGATAGCTAGTGCAAAATAAACTGAAACTGTTCTATAGTACTTTATTAAGCATTTGTTGATGAAATTAAATAATATTCAAAGTTAATTTCAGTCTAAAGTCAGGTTTCCCAGTTCTAGAACATTCGATAGTGGTTTTTGAACTTTAGAAACTGAAAACTAACGCGCCAACTTTCAGTAAACTCTCTACGAGGTTTAATCTTTCTATTTTCCTTACTATCACCGATCAAACGGTAAACTATGTTGAAATTTGCACATACTTAGGAAACTTTGGAAAGCCCTTTTACTATTAAATATTAAACTATTGTTCAACTTAACCCTTTGAAGATGTTGGACAATGAAGTTGATAAGGAGTTGTGTGTGAATTAAAAAGCATGTCGTCGTAGCACTTCTACATCGTAGACTCTCTCGTAGCTTGTGCTAGTATCAAATATAACGCAATTATGAAATTTGAAAAGCGAGCGGTTTTAACGTTGAAAGGGTTACGGGAGATGCAAAAGTTTACAAAAAAAAACCTCAGTCAGGTAAAAGTTAGTACAGGTGCAGGGGAGAAAGTATTAAAAAAGTTGGCACAACTTCACATTAATGAGAACAGCTTAGCAGCTCGACCTTAAATTTATCTACAAAAATATATATGAAAAGAAGATTTTTAATTAAAGATTCTATGAAAGTGGTAATTCAATTTTTATATAATATTTATTAGTCTTTATGACGATTTCGTTTTTCTTTTGTTTTAAAAGAGAAGGGCGCAAACGAGCGACGGGAACAACGAGGTGATCAACGACATGGACATCTGCAACACCAGAGGAACTGCAGATACGTTGCCGGCCTTTATGGAAATGGTATGCTCGCTTCTTGAAGGTCCCCAAATCGTATTGGTTTGGAAATACCGCCGAGTACAGACCGTTCCACAACGCGACTGTGCGAGCTAAGAAATTGTGCGAGAATCGCACCGTTGTGGAATGCCAGCCATCCAGGTGGTGTGGATGGAATATAAATAGTATTTTAATTCTATCTTTAACTCGACTATTTATCGCAGATTTTTATGGGATTTGTATACTAAAAACGTCGTACTTTAATTGATTTGTAATATCAATGTGATTCGATTAATGTTAAAAAATAGAGTCGATTTTTTTAAAGTTAAACCGTCACTTCTTAAACACTTTTAATTGCTATGTTATATATAGTACGAATACTTACAACTTACAAATTATTCGTTCTAAATCAATTTGAACCTTAAAAACTTCTCGAATAATTCTAAAAAAGAAAATAATATTTAAGATTTTTAATATAGAATAATTCTTCATAGTTTTCTTTTCGTCAAATTTCGTATCAATTATTAACATTCTTTTCAATTCGATACGAATGATAATCGCACATCCCTAGCTAAGAATGTCTATGTGTTATCCCGAAAAAAACTTTGACAATCTTCAAGGAATTCCATTTAACCCTCCACCATTAAAGTTAGTTATTACGGAAGGGGAAAACCACAGAAGCAGACTTGTTGTTAAGTTATGTCATTCGTCCCCAAGGCTCTACATACATACTTTACAAATTGCATTTCTTGCCTTTAGCCCTTGTAACATTACTCGTACTATAGTGATGTGATTTGTGGTAGTCATTTTAATGTTGACTGAAAAGTTGTTTCCTGCGTTCAGTTTTATTGAAAAAAAAGTTTTCTATAAAATGCCCACGTGCATCAGTTAAATTCCCATCCAAGAATTGTCAAAATCAGTCAACCCGCTCTGGGGATTAAATGTAATATACGAGGCCTTGTAGACAGACATAAAGAGAAACAGACAGACGTACAAAAATTTTAAAAAATGGTTATCCGTATCAGCTACGCAACGCTACTTACAAATCTACGAGAATTTTTCTTGGATTTTTTTCGGTATAGCATAGTAATAGCGTTGCTGACATTCCGATTATTTTATTAGCGAGTATTTCAGGCGCTACGACTGTTTCGTAGAGTGTAGCAATTTTGCTACGATATTTCAGTTGATCGTAGTTATAGTGCTACGAGGTTTTCGTAGAGTGCAATTATAGTGATACGAATTTCGTAGAATTTAGTTTAAATATTACACTAATAGATAATACAAAGACTTTGAGACTATTTTATTTAACATATATAATGTTAATATTTTACTTCTAAGCTATCAATAAATTGTATCAAGATTCGTCCTTGCACAAATAAGTGCGCTACGCCAGCTCTACGGGAGGTACTCAGCCCGCTGCGAGGAATGGAAAGCTTTTTATGACCTGCAGTGATTTCGTTTATAGTGTTATTTAGCTGACACATTTCTCATAATTAAATAAGTAAACAGCTAAGCAATCTTTGTAATATAAAAATTTCTGATCACAATAAAATAAGCTCCTATGTATAAATAACTAGCTGTCGCCCGCGACTCCGTCTGCGTGAATATAAAAAAAACTTAATTAGTGTAGCCTATGTGTTCTTTCAGACTATGTTCTATACGTATGCCAAATTAAATCGAGATCTGTTCAACCGTTCTAGAGATATCTTCAAACACCAATCCATTCATCCACATCACATCCATCTAAACATTCGCGTTTATATTAGTAAGTTAAATAAAAAGCAGCTCTTCGAGGCATACATTAGAAAAAAATGAATAAATAGTATCCTATGTCCGTCTCCATGCTCTAAGCTACCTCCTCGCCAATTTTCAGGTATATCGGTAAAGCCGTTCTTGAGTTATAAATAGTGAAACTAACACCACTTTCTTTTATATATACAGATAGATTGTATCTCACAATGTTTAAGATATTTTTATCATTTTCGTATAAAAGTTGTAATATTTTAATATTTTTTCACAGTACCAAACAACACCAATCAACCCGTGATCATGATGCATGCAACTGTGCCAAAATATCGGAAGTTCAAACAGTTGAATCGTGATAAGAATCCCGTTTCTTATTAATAGTATTTGCGATCCTATTTGGATTTATTTCAGGACCAAAAGTCGATTTATCGATTATTCATTTAAAGAAAGCTTTTAAACAAGCTTCAACCTAAATATTCATACTTTCAAAGTATTACGTGTACGCATTTTTAAATTACCCTCTACTTATGGTTACCCTATTTTTTCGACAATATGTTTAAATTTAGCTTCCCACTTTTACAAAGGGTAACAAATGCTAAAAGTTACTTCACCGTCCTCAACAAATACCTCATTGTCATATAAAACAAAATTCAGCAAATAAGCTTAAATTAGATGGAATTTCAACCCTTTTTATGTGACACGACACAACGCTCTCTCACATATATTGCAGCGTTCACAAAAAAATTAGAGAAAATAAAAAAAAAATTAAAAAATCAATTTCATCAGCTCACTATACGTCCAAACAGAGGGGGAGCCTACCATAAGTTAGGGGTGATTAGGCCATAGTCAACCACTTAGGCCAAGTGCGGGTTGACTTCACACATATCTTTGAATTTCTTTACAGATATGTGCAGCATCACAATGTTTTCCTTCACCGTAAGAACGTCGGATAAATGTACATATGTGAATCGGAAATCATATTGGTACAGGCAGGATTCGTACGCAGGACCTGCAGATTACAAGTCAAGTGTTGAAACCCCTGAGCCACCGACGCTCAAAAAGAAATACCAATTTATAATAGGAATTGTCAATTTATTGACATAATTTTGTGCATGTTTTTGGAACAATGAAAACCCATGGTTATGTTAGTTAACGTCAAATTATTTACTTAGTATGGATTTTTTTTTAATTTCATTATTATAAATATTATGATGGATATAATATATCTAATATTATAAATGCGAATGTTTGTATGGATGTTTGTTAGAAGATATCTCCAGAACGGTTGCACGGATTTCGCTGAAATTTAGCATAGATGTAGAACATAGTCTGGAAGAACACGTAGGCTAATAATTAAGAATATTTATTATAAATACTACAGTGAAATTAAAATTAAATCTATAATTATTATTGGGTTTTTAGAGAAAAATCTATTAATAATTAAAAATTAAAAACTTTTTCTGCTAACCGTACACGCCATATAAACAGAGCGCGTGCTTCAACGAACATTAAAAGTAAAATGTGTCCTCTAGCGAGGGTTCTAGTTAAATTACATGAATGTTCTTATGTCACAAATAGCTGACAATTTTAAGTGTTTATCTAGCCTTAAATAGCGGTCACCCGTAACTTCGTCGGGGCAAAAAAATAGCTAATAGCATTCCTGAACACATCAGCTATCTTCCAGTCAAAGTCTCGTCTAAATCTGTCCACACGTTGCGGAGATTACCCGTAACAAACGCGGACTTCCGTACAGACAGACAGTCAAAAATTTTAATTTTAATTTTCGTTACAAGTTTTTTTATATCATAAGGTGGCAAACGAGCGAGCGGCCAACTAAAATCTCTAAAATAGCGAAGTGATCGTTGCCCATAGACAT